ATGCTTTGAGCTTTAACAGGTTGCAAAAGATTTTTTCCCCCTTTGGCACGCAGTATGGCAGGAAATAGACATTTYTTCAAGAAATACTTGTTTTTAATTAGAAAGTGAAGAAAAAACTGTTCTGACTGTATCAATGTGTGCAACAAAAAGAAACGTTTTGACCAAATAATAATAATTATATAGGATATTATAACTATGATATAACGGTTTGAACATCTGTTTTTTTTTTGTCATTGCCATTTAACTAATCCGTAAAGTTTAATGCTAACAATTAAGGGTAAATTTAAAATAGTTTGAAAAAAAGCCACATTCAGAAGGTTCTTTTGCATATTGACGTTGTCAACACTGACGCCACCTAGAAGTAGTAATGGTTCTTTCAACTTTTCTGATTGGAATCTGGCTTTACTATAGATAGTAAATGTATTTATTTGTTTTAGTTTAGTTCTTTAGTGAATAAAAGCCTTCTTTGGAGTTGTGTGCTCAAATGCTATAATGAGAATGTAAGGAAATGTGTTTTTAAGCATTGAGGTTCTTTTTAAAACCAATAAAATATAATAAAAAAGCATATATAAATGGGAGGATACATTTTTATTCAGTTTAAGGGTGGAGTGAGGTTTCTTTGTGTGGAAGTGAATAGAACAAAATAACTTGGCAACGATACTCACCTTCAGGAACACAATTAATCTTTAATGAAACTGAATTAATAAGACATTTTAGTTCAAGGTGTGTCCTGAAAAAATAAGTTGCAGGAACTCTAAATATTTTAATTAGGATTTGTTTGTTGGAGTGTTTCTGAACTCTGTGAGTCAGTATAAAACCACTTGCTGCAACAGAAAAGTGTCTTTATAGAATAAAGTTGAGTGGTGAGTAGGTGCTGTCTTGAATTTTGATCTCTCCCACTTTCCGACAGGGAACTGGCAGGGCGTTTCAGTTTTATGACTTGTAAGTGGAAAATTCCCACTTCCCAGTGCAACTGGGACACAGCTATAACAGCCAACGAAAATGCAGCTAAACTGAGATTTTACACAGTGAATTTTGCAGACTGCTGGTTACTTTGGAACCCTGTGCAGCCCCAACTAGGGGTGGGATGCCGCCAACTTTGGTGTGTAAAAATACGGACAGGCATTATGGGAAATGTAGTTTAATATGTATATGAAATGTAGGATAATATTGGCTTTCAAGCAATTTTATTTAGGACATTAATACATCTGAATAAATAAATAAATAAGTTGGGAAAAATACTCTCTGCACTTTCGATGCTTTGATATTTTGGCTTGTTGGTTAATTATACTTAACCTGATGCGTTTATCAAAGATAACAGATGTAGGCTGCAGTTATTGTTCAGTGCCTTAATGGCATTTTTTTCTTACTATTATTGTTTTCAGTAAAGAGGATGTAGCAAAAACCAATAAAAGTTTTCCTGCATGTCATTTTTCAGTTTGGCCAGTTGAATTGGAAGTTTGTGCTTCAATGTGAAACGTTACCAACTTTTCATTCACTATCATAATAACATTGAAGTAAGATAATTGTAACTGTTCTYTTGTATTGTTTTTAGAGTTGTTGARGTCACTGAAACCAATCAYAATGAAATATTTTATTTTAATTTTAGCAAAAAAAATATAAAACACTGAACAAAAGAATAATCAATGTAAACAAAATTTGCAACAAATTATGAATGTCATCATTTTTGGTTTGATAGAAGAGGTTAAGGCTGGATTACAATCAGTGAACACACATGTCAAACTCAAGGCCTTCAGGCCAAATCTGGCCCTTGTTAGCATTTTATCTGGCCCCAAATGCAGTATTTTAAATATAAAATAGTTTATAATAATTTCTGTTCTTGTCATAGTGCAGTTTTCTGATGAGAGTAATTGACTTTTTAGTAATTSGGTTACCTTTTTTAACTGATGGCTGGATTATGATTCAGGTTTTTCTCTGTTTTTATTTGTTATATGGAATTTAAAAGCAAGATTTTCTTTTAGAAATATTGACTAAGACTGTTGACTTGGATCAAGTTTTGAATTTTGCCCCTCTTATGTAACTGAGTCTAACTCTCCTGAGTTAACACAACACAAAAATTGTATTTGTTCTAGAGTAGGGTGTGGTATTAGGACCAAAATTAAAATTCTATGCATCTAATAAAGTCGGTGACCAGCTTAGACAAGCTAGACATTACCTTATCCAATGCTAAAACATGAACAGTGTGCTTCTCATTTGCCAGCACTGGCCTCTCAGTTATACCAGTGAAGGCCTATCATAAATCAGATCATAGCTGGCATTAGAATTTATATAGCCTCCTGCTACAAGGACATAGCCACCACTAAGCACATAATAGTCTTAGCTTAGGCCCTAATACTAGTGACGTCCCGAGTTGATTGCAAATATCAGATCAAGATATCAATCAAGGCATTTTTCACTGATCTATTTAGGAGCGCCATTGTTCAGCTCCTGGTCTTTCTTGTTGACCTGCTGTCTGTGGTTTCATATCAGCTGGGTTGTAAAATGCTGCGATCTCATGACGTCTGCAGTATAGAAGTATTTTAATTTATTTTTAAAAAGTGTCYATTTCCAAGTGTTTGAATTTGCAATTTCAACATGTGGCAGAAGTGACGTTTACACAATATTCTTAAAGGAGACTAACTAAAAGTAATTAAGTACCATTAAATTTAAGTAACTCAAGTTAAGTCACTTGTACTTTCTCTCAAGTATCACTTAGAGGTATGTTATACAACACTGGTTATAACCACTGGCATAAAGTCTGTAAATCTTTGAACACTTAAGTGGTTTGCTACAAAACAAAAAATAATTGTCAATAAAATCATGCAAAGCTTATTTTAGTGTTCCTTTTTAGTTAAAATCATTCTGTAAAGCCCCCCAAAAAACTAAAAATCAAAGGTAACATTGTGGCTTAAACTGTGAAGGCGTGAAAAAAACCAGATTTATTGTTCCACAACACACATACAAAGTCATACATTGTATCATACAGCTCCTTTGAAATTTCAGAATGCTTTTATTTTATTTTATTTTAGTTTATATACAGCAGTTTTACACAGGAGTTTCAACATGTTGCATAGCAATATGTTAAWAAAATAAAAGCATTCTGAAATTTTACAAACCTTTTAAATTTGAGTCTATGAAAAACAAAAAGCTGAAATTTGTCAAGTATTTACAWATTAATAATACCAATTGGTTTTCACCACATTTGTGTTCATACAAATGAACAATAAAGATCATATGTACTGTSATAAAAGGAGGTAAAAGCCTTATGCAAGACCCATGGTCCTTCTCTAGCTGCCTGAAAAATCCCACTGAAYGCCAGCGATGCACTCTGACCCACTTTTTTTCCTGCTTCCACTGCTGATGAAGCTATTGGTTCAGATGCTTTCACTATTGAAGGAACTACTGCTTCTCCAGCTGTCGCTACAGATGCATCCACTCTTGATGTCTGTCTGACTCTAGAACTGATAAACCAAACTGCAAGTAAACCCATGAGCACCCCARCTGAACTTTTTATCCACAGTGCAGTTCCTTTCATCTGCTTCTTTAGGATGTTGGTTTTAGCTAGCTGTCTGATTTCCTCCTCTGACGTGTTGTTAGATGACAGTTTTAAACGCTGTGCCTCCTCTTGTATTTCTCTCTCCACCTCTTCAAGCAGCGCATTGGTGTAGAATCCTCCGGTGTTTTCCATCAGCATCTTGTCGATGGTAAGAAGCAGCTCGCCCACCTGGAACTGGTTGCTCCTGTAGTCGTTCTCCTGCTCACTGTTCTTATTCCAGTATTTACAATCGAAAACATGGCAGCGACTGCCACACTTCTCCACCAAACCCCTCAGGGCTTCACTTTGACTGACATACTCCCCTATTTTCATGCCCTCTTGGAGTTGGTCACCGTGAGTGAAGACCACTACAGCATACTTCAGGACATCCTCTGAGAAATACTGCAGTATTTCACTGGTGACGGCCTGCTCCTGCTCCGTGTACTTCTCCACTTTGAGAACAATCAGAAAGACGTGGGGCCCAGGAGCGCACTCTATGAAACACCTCATTAACTCTGACTTTACCTCGCCCTTCGTTCTGCCTTGGTCAAAGAAACCAGGAGTGTCAATCAAAGTGATGCTTCTTCTGTTAACGAATTTAGTTTTTGCTTCCGAAACAAAAGTGTTCAAGTCATTGAAGTTTTTCACTTTAAACAGGGTCTCTCCAAAAATGGTGTTCGCCAAGCTGCTCTTCCCATTTCCACTTTTTCCCAGCAGGAGAATCCTAAACGTGGCCGGCCCTGGAGAAAAGAAAAGACAGTACATCAGTATAAAATACTACTTATCTATAGTGCCTTCTGCTGAAAGGTGGAAGATAATGTTTTTGCCTGTGTGTGTTTGGGTAAGTGCCTGTTAGCAACATTTTTTCCTTTTCTTGTGGCAAAATTTAAAAGAAACACCAACCATTAGATACACAGCACAACTGATTAACTATTGAAGGTGGGCACTGACGATTGACCTTTGAAAACAAAAAATATGTCTTTGATWCAATTTTACAGACACTGAGCTGAAACTTGGTGTGGTAGTAGCTGAGAGGCATTCTCAGCACATATTCTGATTGCTACACGTTGCACGAAATTGTCACTAAAAATGTTTGGCTTTACCTATTGGAGTCAATCTTGTTTGCCTGTTAGCRAAATACTTGACAGATTTAAAAGAAAGCAATGGATTAACTTTTAGMRTCGACCCAATTAAAGATGTCMGCCACCAGTAATGTGGACCCTAATGAATACAGAAGCAGTTGTCTACAGACTTCTTAGAGTCAACTTTTTGTAGGTTTTTGACCTGTAAGAGGGAACCGGTTTACCCATAACAAACCTATGCATGCACAGAGAAGACATTTAAACTTTGCAGAAAGGCCCCAGAACTGTTTTGCTACAAGGTGCTTAGCAGCTGTTCCACTCTAGCTTCTAAAAAGTCAATCGTACAATTTACATTTTACTAGTTCACTACTGCTTTTTACAACTTTACATTTAGAAAAGTTGCACCTCCAAAAACTTCTATAATGACATAATTGTGGCTATAAGAGCACAGGTGATGGAAGAAAATAGAGCTAAGACAGTTTTGCCAAGCTGTTTTACTGTTATAACAAACATGTGCATTTGAAACATGTTTTATTGTATTCAGTGTACTAAAATCTGAATTTAAAATGATTTTAGATTGTCTAAGATGGAAGGAAGGAATAAGCTGAACTTACCAGCCATGCTGCCTCAAACAGGATTGTACGTTGAAAACGCTGCGATATCGTCTCTGAGACGTTCCTCTCGCTCCCTTGCTCTGACTTGTCTCATGCTTTGTTCTTTATTACCTGTCTGACTTGTTTTTTGGTAGTGAGTGGATGGAATGTCAAACACATGGTGTCCAAGCACACTAAACTGGTATTATCTACAACAGAAAAAAACACATTATAAGAACATTTCATTTAACATAAAAAAAGGATTTTCACAAGAAAAGGTATAACTGATTTCTTTTATTTTCTTTTTCGTTATTCTAGTGAGAAAAATCTAATTTATAAATGTCTCCTCTGTGAGCAACCCAATATTGTTGCTACAGGGCTCAACTCTGCTGATTAGCTGAGGTTTTTCTGAAAGGGTTTTCATGTTCCCTAGCCTGGTAAAAACCAGGCCCTTGTTCTTTGCTTTGCTTCGTACAGAGGGTCTGCACTCTTGGCTATTGARAAACTATTGCCTGCTAGAAGCATGGATTCTGTTAAAGTAGGAAAATTGATGCCACACGCCTTACCAGATGGTGGCAGTTATTYTCCATTAGGCTATTTGCCAGCCACCATTAAACATAGTGGAAGAAGACCCCAAAAAGATACAAAACAATGGAGGACATGTAGCATTGTTATTGCAAACGGATCAGGTTTATGTGAGGGTGGCTCTTGAGATGGAACAAGTGACTCCACCCMCAACCAATCAGTGACCAACAGTTTTCTGACGTCATTTTTTCAGGCCAGCACCGTACACTTTGAACCGCAACAAAGTATGTTCTGAAAAAGGGGCCGGTTCCATGAATCCCTGCTAGTTGCAAAAGCCTTGGAACTGTGGAGAGCCAAGTCGAACTGTGCTGTAGAGGTGCTAGTGGAAAAGAAGCATTAGTCCATCTTCATTTGCACAAGATTGATTAAAAAGTTATGAATGGATTTTTATGAMATTTTCAGAAAATGTTGTGGTTGTCCAAAAGAACAACTTGTAAAATTTTGGTAGTGATCTGAAAAATTCACCAAAGCAGCAGATCACCATCTGGCACAAACAGAAACAGAAACTTAGGGTCTTTCCCAATCGGTGGCTACACACTCGCCCTACTCCCTACTCACTCAGTTTGTGCGTTCCCGTGGAGGGTTGGCCATATTAAGTCCCATCTGAAACCAGTTAGGTACGAGGGGGAGTGGCTTATTAAGCCCTCCACAGAGAGTCAGACTTGATCAGCAGGTGCAGCACCAAATAGTGGTCGACATGGAGCATGGGACGTATAAATATAAGTTCCACATATGTTTTGTTCACATATTTACTAAGTAAACACCTCACCAACAAATATAATTTCACATAAATCATGTTTAATTCAATTCAAACTTTATTAAAGACATATTTGGTCCATATTTTAAAAAAGAAGAAAAGAAAAAAGAAAGAAAAAGTAAATAAATGATTTTAAAAATGTTAAAAGWGCAATTCMCCTCCCTACCTACCCCCATCCTTTATCTTGTGTCTGTCCCCAAACAAGGCCATGGAGTTGGAATAGAGAACTGAACTCTATACAGAGATATGGACTGTGGAACTGTGTGTGTGTGGGATAACATCAGATGGACTATGGAGGTCTATGTAAGGGGCAGGCACTTGCCCTTGACRTCACCGGTTCCTCCACAATCCCTTCCCCCGTCCATATTTGTTGTCCTGTAACCCACCCCCCGCATCCCCTCCCTGCTTTGCTGCCTCTGCTTCTATCTGCAGAGTAGTTTTTTTAAACAATGCTTGCGTGCTTATGTTTGTTAAACATAAGATCAAAGTTCTTTTTTAACTCCTCCTCCCTATGTGTGTGTGTATTCCAAACTGCAAGGCAGCGCACTTCGTTGCGCAGGGCCCTGGACATTCGTTCCTTTGTCTGTCATGTGTATGTGTTCCTCCGGACGGATGTTCAAAACTGCAAATTTCGTTCTGCATTACATCTTGATGTTGTGTTTGAACGACAAAAAACGATTCTTGATTCTTGATTCTTGATTCTTGAATTGTTTTGACAAGTTAAGACACTGTTTGTTACAAATACAGACATATCTGAAAACTCTCTAAAATGTGGGCCTAATTAAATATTTTATTTGGTCTATTAAAAAAAGCGTTTGTTCTCCAGCATCAGTCGCTGCCAGAGGTTGGACTGTTACCATGGTGATGACAGCTTCCTGTTCCGGTGGTGTGAGGAGAGCCCGTCTCAAAAGCGGAGGGTSTATACAGCACCATCAAGGRGACTCAGTTCAGCTGTGAGGGGGCTTCMCAGCGAGYKTAGTTTGTAGGGAGTAGGGCGAGTGTGTAGCCACTGATTGGGAAAGGGCCTKAGAACAGAGCCAGAGGCTGCTTTTTAATGGTGATGTCATACTGTGACAGCCAATCCAGCAGCTCAGCAGCTGCACACTCTCATTTRCATGGAGTCTTGGATGGAGGTATTCTCCAAGTGCCTCTAGTTAGTCATATTAAAGTAAATGAATGATGTACACTGATGAGTTTTTGGACTAATTCTTCAACAAACACCTTCTAAAAATGTGTTTTGCAATGATGAATTGTTGCTAAGAATGTTGTTGTAATCAGCTTATTTTTATTTTACTTGTTAAGAACTTGTTCATTTGAATAAAATGGCTATTTTAAAAGACTGATCTGAAACTGAAGTCAATCTTGACCCAGCCCATAAAATGTGTTGCATTGGAATACAGTCTAAGTATTAAGTATTAACAAGTATTTTGATGTGTTTTATTCTTGGTAGTTTTGTAAAATATAAAATAGTTTATCTTTACATAATGATTCTGGTTCAAGRTTATTACAGACCAATGACAACATTCAGCTTGTGAATGTATGTAATGATGAGTTTTAGTAATAAATCTTCATTAGCATTTAGTAAACATTAGCAGTGCAGCTAAAGGCTAAACAGGCACTGATGTGCAGTCCTGTAGACGGGAGAGAACGAGACCAGCATCCTCTGTCAGTGTCATTACCAACTTTGACTCTACCCACTGATGTGAGGTAATTCTCAGGAAAAARTWAAGTAAAAAGCCCGRGTCATGTCCCTGCTGCTTAACATATAAACKAAGGCAGTTATGACGTCTGACAGCATCTTTTGTACTAAGGTTTCAGGAGCACACTGAAGGAAGATGGTGCTATTCCACTGTCAGGGCATCTATAAGGTTACCTCAGTCATTTGGATGTTATAGCTGCTTGTCTTTAATTTCAATTATTTAATATCCTTTGTTGAGGATTTGCTTGATTTTTTATTAGTTCCAGAACTTTGACTTTAGAAAGCAGATTTTGATATTTATAAATCAAAAATGKGAACCACTGTTGAATAAAGGCAGAATATTAGATAACATTATTGATTTGAAACYAACAGTAACTTAGAGATAGACACAGAAAAAAACTTGCACAGCTGATTTTTTATTGGGAAAAGCACTGCTGGTAGTAATACTACAACTTCTTAGGTACCAGTAGGTACTGTGGAACCATGGTAACCTGAAACATTCAGAACTGTATTATGTTTCATTGTGTAACACACTCCATCCCCCAGTATTCCCACCCTTGGAAACACTGTTCTATGTATGTGTGTGGCTTCAGTGCAAGTATAACTAGTAAAAAGTACAAAACAAAGCATGTCAGGGTGTCGGTTGTATTTAGATTAAAACAGACAGGTCTGACAACCTGAGCAACACTAACAGGGTGAGGCAGGAATGTGAACATGCCGGTGACTCTGCAACTACTTTCAAACTTAGATTATTGTGCTGAAGTCTTCAACCACCCTTAATACTTGGAAGTTTGCTAAAAAAATGTGTTATAAAACAAACTTGTGTACTGTTGTAYAGACACAGATCCAACCAGATGCTTCAAGGAGCCCAAGTTATGACTTTAAGCTGCATATGCATAACCTGTGCCGTGTTTTCTACCACAACAACAAGGTAACCATCTGTTTCTAAAACACTGAACTGACCAAAACTGAACTGAAAAGTAAAACACAAAACAAATTCATTGGAACAACTTTTTTTTTACTGTGCTAGTATGATGAGTAAAAGTAATTTGGTTAAATAAAACAATTGAACTAAAAGTTACTTACTAGTTTAAATTTACAACATACTGAAAAGGTTAATTCAATTATGATTGATCACCCAGTATTTTATACAAAAGTACGTAAGTACATGCAATATCATTGCATGTGAGAAACAGAAGCAGGAAGGAAAGGAAGCTGAGTTAATTAAACAATGTGTTTGTACATTGTTGACAAACATTTATGAGCAAGTTTCAAGACAATCGTTTTTCTTAGTTCTGACCATTAAGGTAGTATCCCACAGAGCTGCGAACCATCGGAGTTTAGTTTCATAAATTGTGACAAGATGTGTTTTTAACAAGTTTTGGAAAATMGTTTTTGTGAACAGAGCTTGCTAAACTACAAAGCTTGTTAAAAGGGACAAGTTTGAATTACTTTATTTTAAAATAGACAGGAATGACATACATAATGACACTTGTTGTGAAGTATCTTTTAGCATTATACTGTATGTTGCAGCTGTAAGACCCAGGTGACGACTCTTTGTCCAAAAAGCTTTATTTTCTTATAAGTTCAAAATGGGCTCCTCTCTCACCTGGTGTCTTTGCTATAGTAAGAGTTGGAGTTCTGTCAAGTTCAGAAACACAGTAAAAAAAAACATTTCCTGACACACACGCGTAGGGTGTTCAGTGTCATTTTGTAAAAACTATGAAAAATGAACCATCCACCATCTCCATCTTCTACTGCATATCCAAAGTCAGGTCATGGAGGCAACAGGTCCAGGAGAGAAACCCAGACATCCCTCTCCTCAGTGACACTTTCCAGTTCATACTGGGATGAGTAATCCCAAGTCCTGGGTTTTCCCTTGGGCCTCCTAACAGTGGAGCATGCTTGGAGCACCTCTTAAGGGAGGTGACCCTTACAATGGAAGCTCATTTCAGCCACTTGTATCAGGGATCTTGTTCTTTCAGTCATAATAAACCATAGAAAATAAATTCTAGGATACCTTTGAACAGTCAAAGAGAAAAACAGCATTTTTGTATATACTCTGACTCCAACAGTGTCTGTATCTCTCACAAAGAAGCACTTAATTCAGCTGCTCAAAACTTATTGAGCAGCATAATGACTCAGTGGTTAGCACTGATGCCTCACATCAAAGGGGTCCTGGGTTCGATCCCTCGTTCGGTTATCGGGTCTTTGTGTGTGGAGTTTGCATGTTCTCCTTGTGCCTGTGTGGGTTTTSTCCGAGTAGTCTGGTTTCCTCCACAGCACAAAAACATGTACAATAGGCTGCTTTCAGGGACAGGCTGCCCTGGCAAAATGGATCTGCGATCTCAATGGGATTTGCCTAGCCTGGTAAAAACGAGACCCTTGGCCTTCACTTTGCTTCATACAGAGGTCTGGACTCTTGCCTATAGAGAAGTGATTCTTGCTGGAGGCGTGGCCTCTGCTAAAGTTTAAAATGATTGGATCAGTTGACAGCAAGTGCCAGCTCCACTGTGAAGGAGGCTAAGCTAAGAAGCTAACTGGAACTTGCGTGCGCTGTAAACAACCCTACTGAGAGGAGAGAAGTACCGAACCGAACGAGACGACTGTAAATGAGAGCTGCTGCTTTGTCAGACAAATTTAATTTAATTTGGAAGTCTTATCAACACGGACTGGTTTCATTCACTTCCTCCACTGCCGTATGCTAAACTAACTAGCAGACACTGCGCAGAAAATTGACGTTCTGTTCTCTGATTGGCCCAGGTAAAATAAACTACAAGCAGACACTGCGCAGAAAATTGACGTTCTGTTCTCTGATTGGCCCGAATGAAATGCTCCCAAAGAAATCCTTGTCTATGGGAGAAATCTCAGATKGAGCAGTGAAGCGAAACTACTGTAGAATTGAGCTAAACTGCGTAGGAAGGTAAGGGCCAGGCTAGGATTTGCCTGGTTAAATAACAAATAAAATAAAATTAATTCCATGACAGTTCAATAATGTTTTAAAATTCTGTCATTGGACAGGCTTTGGACAAACCACATTCTTGGTCATGCACATTGTATTGCCTTTCTCTGCTCACATTGTATTGGACTTGGTTTGCTTTGAATGTGAACTGTGACTATTTTGAGAGAAAATTTCCATCCATCTATTATCTTTTCACCTGCTTCTTCCTGTCAGGGTCACTGGGCCCCTCATCCAGCAATCATTGTGCAATGGGGCGGGGTACACCCTGGACAGGTCTCCAGTTCATCCATAGAAACCATAGGACCACATAGAGACAAAAAATATTTCATGCTCTCGCTCACACCCAGGGGCAATTTAGACCAATTAGTAACAGTCATGATTTTGTTCTGTGGGAGGAAATGCCCAAGGAAACCCGAGAGACAATATGCAAACTCTACCTAGAAAGKTTTCTGGCCGGGGTTCAATCTGGGAGGCAACAGCTCTACCAACTGAACCACCATRCCGCAATGGGATTGCAAGCCTCTGCAACATATGCAGGAAGAACATTTAGAACTATCACTAATGTCACAAGACATGCTGGAAATGCCCTCATGAACGCTGTTTGCCAAATAGTCACAGCCTGGTGAGATACTACTATTATGGACAGTTAAATACAAATGCATTTCCTTTTCTTTTTATTAGCTGTTAGCATTTTTAAATGCAGTAAAGTTTGACTTTGACAGTAAGGACTTGTTGCAGTACCCAGTTAAGCCCTGACAAGATGCAAACTTCATGAGATATTATCAGAACAGGACTCGCTTTTATATTGTTTACTTCATCTCAGAACTTTAGCTGCTTCTCATCTCTGTCAGCAGAGTCAGTTTAATGCTCCTCAGCTTGTCTCTGCAGATGCAGCCGTACTACACAACCCCGGTGTCTCTGCCTCTGTGTTTTCAGCTGCACCCACTCCTCCTGTTGCGGCTGCTACCACTATTTTTGTCAATGCTACTCCTGCGGCTAACACTGGCTCTTGCTTCAACACATCCTCCCCCAGGAAAACTCTTAACAAGACCTTGGAGCTGGTCCTCAAAACATAAGTCAAGAACCTTTCTTGGACAACAGTTTTTGCCTTCTGTTTGACCTCGTGTGGTGAAAGGTTGGGGTTTTCTTGCTTTATACGATGTTGCTCTTGTTCTAAATCTCTGGTCACCTTCTGTAGCATCTCRTGGGAGTAGTAACTTTTATTGTTTGCCTCGATAATCTTGTCCATGGTGTCGAGCAGCTTTTTCATCTGGACCTCGTTGTTCCTGTACACATCCTGGCTCTTCTTCCAGTATTTATTATCAATGACGTTGCAGCGATTACCACACTTCTTGACTATATGACTCAGTTCTTTGCTTTGACTGACAAACTGCTCAATCTCTGTTCCGTCAGCCAGCTGATCGCCATGAGTGAAGAGCACGGTGGTGAACGTCAGCGCTTCATCTGAGAAATAATCGGTCATCTTCTTTATGACTTCCCTCTCCTGCTCTGTGAATTTGTCCACCCTGAGCACGATGATAAAAACATGAGGACCCGGCGCRCACTCTATGACGCACTTCACGATCTCAGCCTTCATCTCCTTCTCACAYCTTGTGTCAAAAAAACCCGGAGTATCAATGAAGGTTACGTTTTTCCCGTCAACTGTTCCTGACGCTGCTTGACATTGACTCGTTCCTGACGTGGGAGAATGGTCTGGTTCGCACACTTTCTTTCCAAAAAAGGTGTTGATGAGGCTGCTCTTCCCTGCTCCAGTCTTTCCCAAAATCACGATCCTTCTGGTAAATTCTGTAAAACAGCAACAAATAGGTAAGTCACAAATTTCAACAATCTAACAACAAACTAACCCTAGCTTTATCATGTATTTTTACAGCTTATCACACATCACTTACTCTGTAGGACTGCTGTACTTTTATTGCACTTTATTATCTGTTTGTAATGTATTACTCTGTTGTGATGGCATTGTGCTATTTAGTGCAGTGTTCACCAATAACCCTTGCAGTGTTGATCTGTTAAAAACATCAATCAAAATGTGTCCATTTTTGATGAATCTTTCCTCAACAAAAATAAAATAAAGGCTTACCATCAGGAAATGGCTGAGAAGATGATCCTGTTCCATCAGATTTTGACAGATAAGACCCCATGTTCACCTCTATGATGGCCAATGAGAAGAAGACAACGTTTATACGTTATAACGTTAAAGTTTATAAATGACAACTTTTATTA